ACCAGAGATAAAGTGGAAAATGTTAAAGGGCATGGACTCAATGGTTTTTATTCCAAAAATACCCCTAACAGTTATCATATATCATACTTAGTCTACCCCTTTTCCAAACAAAGCTATAATATGAGGAGAGGGTTAGTTTATTTTATCCTAAAAGGTTGATAAGAGAACTATTAGGGTTATTTTTGGAATAAAAACCTTGGACCAATGCCCCTTCATATTCCGACTTGTCTTAAGAGGTCATATGGCCATTCCCATATAGAAATGCAAATGGTTCCTGACAATGGATCTTAAGCATGGTTTTCGAATCATCATTGACCTAGACGGTCGGACCATTCGGCCTAGAAACCATTTAGGCAACTAGTTCCATTTCACCCTTAATCCATTCATTGGCCAAAAATCGTTAACTTAATTACAGTGACCTGTTGACCTGTGTGATCAAACCATTGACCTATTTGACCCGGATAACAGTTTTTGACCATTTTTATTTTAATTATTGTTTAAGTTGGAATGAATCATCTATTCAAATCGGACTATTAAACCGCTGACCCAAGTTTTTAAAATATTGGTGTTTAAGTAAAATATAAGCAAACTACACTCTATGCTCTGTAGAGAATGTTTTAGTACGGCAAACTAATGGTAGGTTTTAATAAATACCTTAAAAACTATAGTGGGTGTCTAAGTAAATGACCCTTTCTTTTGTATATATCCTTTTTCCATCCTGTTTTATTTTTGTCAAGTAAATCTTTTTGTTAAACTATGAAAAAAGAATTAAAAAAAATCTTAGCTCGATTATTGACAATTTCGTCACCTTTTTGGATTGGAAGCAGGATTTTTAATCTCACCAGATCTAATCACCAACATTAACATTTAACAAACAATCTGTATTCACAATTAAGAAAGCAATTGGTCCTATATAAATGCTTTCATTGATTTATAGGAAGAGAAAATGGCCGTGTATTAAATATTTGCCATGTGATCATTACAATTAACTGCTTTTAAAGATAATTAATTTCTACCAATGCTAATCAGTAGCTAGCCACTCTTCTTGAGTGTGAAAGCAAGGTGTCAGTAATAATTAATTCTTTATATCTGCAGTTATGTTGGTGACTGGGTTTATTCAAGAGGGGAGACGTGTTGGAACCTATCTACCTGGTTTTATTCTAGAGCACCTATCTGTTTTTATTGAAGGGTTGCCATATTTATTAAAACTTATTTTACGACGTCCAACTATACTTGGAAGGTAGGATTTTTCAAGAAAAGACAAGATGACGATATTTGTATATACGAAGAGGAGGAAAATTGCACAAAAGGGTCTCATATGGAATTCACCTACTTTGCTTAACTGAGCAAAAAACAATTGAGATGATGAGACAAGTCCATATGGGTGATTGTAGACCCCACATGAATGAACACATGTTCCTCAAGAAAATACAATGAATGGGGTACTACTGGAGCATCATGGTCAAGGACTATTGCAAATTTGTTAAAAATGCTACTGGAGCATGTTGAACTTCATAATCTATCCTTCCCCTGGCCACTCTCTGTATGGAGGATGGACATCATTGGTGGGATAACTCCTAAGGCATCTAATGGACATGAATACATCCTTGTGGTAATTGACTACTTCACAAAATGAGTCGAAGCAATAACCTACAAGAATGACACCCAGAAGTATATGGCCAAGTTCATCATGAATAATATAATCGACAAATTTGGAGTGCCACATGAAATCATTTCTGATAATGCACTGAATTTTGACAACTAGTGTCTTGACTCCCTCTATGAAAAGTACAAAATCAAAAGGCATAAATCATCACCTTACAGATCTCAAACAAATGGAGTTGTCGAAACCGCCAGCAAGACCATTGGTTGTATATTGAAAAAGATCATAGAGACATATAAAGACCGGCATGAGAAACTCCCCTATGCCTTATGGGCTTATCGTACCAACATCTGCATTCCAACTAGTGTGCACCCTACTCCTTGGTGTATGGGATGGAACCGATACTTCCGATTGAGGTCTAGATCCTGACTAGAAGGATCTTAATGGAAGATGCCCTATCTGAAGAAGATTGGTTGCAAATTAGAGTAGAGGAGTTGCTGCATATTGATGAGAAGAGACTACAAGCCTTGTGTCACATCAAATTTAATCAAGAAAGGAATTGCTAGAGGTTTTGGAAAGAAGGTCCGACCAAGGGAATTTCAACCGGGAAAGTTTAAGCCCAACTAGGAGGCCCTATGCCATCAAAGAAGTATTGTCTGGTTATGCTATTCGACTTGTTGATTTTGATGGAAATGAACTCCCAAGGCTTACCAATGCTAATAGGATAAAAAATATTATGCATAACCCGCTGAGTTGAAAATCTGAAAGGGTAGTTCAGACAAAAGTTAGGGTAAAATAAGAAAAGAAAAAGAAAAAGTAAACTCCTTTCTACCATTAAATTAGAAACTAGGGGCAAAACTATTGATTGTGGTTCATAAAAGGGGAGGCCATCTTTGGTCGATTATTATACCAAGCCACCTATTTCTACACCCCCATCCCTTGAAATCCATGATTGAGCCTTAGCCTTTCCTTCTTCAATATAAAACATCCCTTGAATCCTAGAGTCGACCATATACTCCTTAGATAAGGGGCAATGAAAGCCTTAAGGGGTTCATAAAAAGGGATGCCATCTTTGCGTTGAAATTGAGCCCTTATCATGCATCATAGCCCAGAACGCCTAAAGACTCCCTAGGTGCTAATCACTGATAATATCACGTAGTTTGCAGACACAGAGATGGACTCCAACAAAGAGGCTAGGATTTGTCGCCTCTAAGCCGCGACAAAGAAGAAGGTTGCGGCTTCGCCATCAAGTGCAGCCCTTCCTTATCATCGACGTGAGGAGGTTACTCTAAATAGCTTTCATAGAAATTAGAGTATCCTTGATATGTTATAGGCGTTTCTTTATCAATCAACGATAATAACTACTAGGGATAGCAATTTTCTCCATTTCCCCGACCCTAGTGGGGATCCGCCCCGAATGGGGTGGGGATGGGGATGATTTTTCCCCCGTGAAGACGAGTAGAGCACTCCCTACCGTGCGGAGACCCCGATCCCCGCCCCATGGGATCCCCACTAATATATATGTATATATGTATGTATATGTTATACACACACATACATCTATATATTTTCTAATAGGATTATAAATTTTATTTACTTTATTTGTATTTCTTAATAAAATAAAATAAAAACAAAAATAAAATGGTTAACATTATAAAAAATCACGAGGAATGGGGATCCCTACGGGGATGGGGATGGGGATGGGGATAACCTTGTCCCCGTTAACAAGGGGATGGTGATTTTCACGGGAGGGGGATGGGGAGAGTCTCCCTATCCCTGCCCCACCTCATTGCCATTCCTAATAACTATCAAGAAGATGACCGAATATGAACTTTTAGGACAGATTTACCACCCCTATGCTATTTCTACTAATTTATATCTTAATTATTTTTGTAAATTCTTATTGTAAAACATTATTTGATGATAATAATTTACTAATTTACTTGATAATTACTATAATCAATTCTCAAATAATTTATTGAATTATTACCAAAAACATTATAATATATTACCAAAAATATTAATTTCCAAATAATTTATTACCACAATTAATTTCTGAACAATTATATTATCAGAAATTATTAATTTGATTCTCAAAATTATTTAATTATAATAATTTATTAATTTATTACTATACATTATTTGGTAAGTTATTACCGAAAACTATTACTATAAAAACCAAAAAAAAAATAATTATCAGTGTAATTAATTATAAATAGAAATAATAAATTATTACAAAAAATTCTTGCTGTAATTAATTTTCAAATAATTATATCACCAAATTGGACCATTGGATTTATTGACGTAAAAATAATAAAATGAGATGGAGTTTAATTCTGGACCATTAGATGGATAAATGGAAAGGTATATTGCATGGAATTTACCATGAAAAAGCTAACACCGAATCACAATTATAAGAGGGGAAAAAACAATAACAATAAGTAGTTACTAGACCTAGCAAAAAATTGACCCAACCCACGAACCCAACCCGAAAAAATAGGGTTAGGGTCTCATATTGAACTATCTGAATTTGAGAATGACCTGACCCAATTCAACCTGAAAAAATAGGGTTAGGGTCTCATATTGAACTACCTGAATTTTAGAATGACCCGACCCAACTCGACCCGAAAAAACTAGGTTGGGTTGGGTCATATTGTTAGAAGTTTTCACTCTTTAATTTTTACTATTTAATCTTTACTCTTTATTGTTTACTCTTTGAATTGTTAAATGTTCAAGTTTTTTTTATTTTATATTTGGAATTTTAAGGTTAATTCATTTAATTTTGGCATTTTTCATGTATTTATTCTTTATTTTAAATTTTAATTATTTTTTGGGATGACTCGAATTGACCCATGGGTCAACCCTAACCAGAATTAGGGTTAGGATCTAGCATTTGACAACCCAACCTGAAATTCAACCCGACCTGAAATCAACCCAAAGTGTCTTGACCCAACCCGAACCCAACCCACCGAACCCAATTGCTAGCAATTACCAAATAGAAGCGTGGGGGCAAACGCCTCCTTCAAAGTGTGGGGCCAAACAGAAAATGTGATCCACACTCTTTGCGTGAGTGTTTATTAGGGTGGACGTTGCTGCTATTGAATGAAATTGGACGTGGGCAAGGCATGTTCTTTTCCAACTTCTCGAGCCTCCGGCCAAGCATAAGAAAACGATGAACAGTAATATTGCTCTTTTTTTATATTTTTCAAAAATAGTTATCTTATTCTAATTATTTTATAAAAATATTACTTTTTAATAATATTCAGAGCAAAAAGTTACAACTCTGTTAGAAACCCTGTGTAAAATGGACACCAGTGTCAACTCTTCTCCATCCGTCAAATCATTTCACACCTTCCAACACCTCTCTTCAAATTCCCAGCCAAACGAAAGGAAAACGATGGTGGCACTCGATTCACCTCTCTCAACACCTCTTCACCACCACTCTAGATCCAAATCTAGATGTATCAAACAAAAGAAAACTAATTACTACTGGACTGAATTATCAGCAAAATCACTTAGCCTCCAAGCCACCAACTCATCACTCATCAAAACCCTATTCATGCCTCCCCACCACTCCTCTGTTGACCCCAAGCAAATCCTCACCGGAAATTTTGCACCCGTCGACGAGATACCCCCAACCGAATGCCCAGTGGTGGATGGAGAGCTCCCACCCTCCCTTAATGGCGTTTACATCCGCAATGGTCCCAACCCTCAGCACCAACCTCATGGGCCTTACCACCAGTTTGAAGGAGATGGCATGCTTCACTCTCTCCGTATATCCCATGGTTGTGCAACCTTCTGCAGCCGCTACGTGAAGACATATAAATACAGCCTTGAGCAAAAACTTGGGTCTCCAGCTTTCCCTAATTTCCTTTCAGGCTTCTACAGTTTCGCTGACATCGCTCGTTGTGCCGCCTTCATTGGAAGGATAGTTACAGGAGAGATTAAACCCAGAAAAGGTTTTGGCTCAGCTAATACAAGCCTAACTTTCTTTGCCAATAAGATCTTCGCCCTCTGTGAATCAGACCTCCCTTATGTCATCCATTTGACGCCTGAAGGTGATGTTCAGACCATAGGCCGCTTTGAGTTCGAAAAGAAACTATTCATGAACATGACTGCTCACCCAAAGGTGGATGCTTCCACAGGAGAGATGTTCGCATTCCGCTGCAGCCTAGTAGTACCTCCTTTTCTAACGTTATTCCACTTCGATGTAAATGGAACCAAGGTATCAAACCTACCCATCTTCTCTGTGCAGCGCCCCACATTCATTCATGATTTCGCCATAACCAAGAGGTACACAGTATTTGCAGAAACACAGCTAGTCATGAAGCCAATTAAACTGGTGATGGCTAGGGGAACGCCACTGGACTTTGATCCAGACAAGGTGCCACGGATTGGTGTCATTCCACGGTATGCAACGAGTGAGTCAGAAATCAGGTGGTTTTCAGTTCCAGGATTCAATGCCATGCACATCATCAACGCTTGGGGAGAAGATCACGATGAAAATGTCATCAACCTTCTTGCAACCAATGGCCTCTCCATAGAGCACTTCTTCCATGAATTAGAGACCGTTCATTTCTCAGTGGAAAAGGTGAGAATTGACATGAGAGATGGTTCAGTTTCTAGAGCTACATTGTCTCCAACAAGTCTAGAGTTTGGTAGAATCAATCTTACTTACGTAGGGAGAAAGAGTAGGTATGCCTACTTCGGCGTGGCTGATCAAGTCCCAAAGATGTCAGGTGTTGTGAAGCTTGATTTGGAACTGGGGCGTGAGGTTTCCAGCAGGTTCTATGAGCCTGGTTGCTTTGGGGGAGAGCCCTTCTTCGTGGCAAGAGATGTCAGTGTTCCTGATGATCAGTTGGACGAGGATGACGGTTATCTTGTATCATACGTCCATGATGAATCCACCGGCGAGTCCAAATTCATGGTGATGGATGCCAAATCCCCAAATCTGGATGTGGTTGCAGCTGTGAAGCTTCCCCAAAGGGTACCCTACGGATTTCATGGGCACTTTGTGAGGGAGAAGGACCTCACTGAGAATTGATCAATCGATGAACTATATTTATATATGAACAAGAATCTGATGGTTCATAAGTTCAAGCAGTTAGATGGGTTTGATCAGCATTTATGTCATCATCATGTGTGATTGCTTATAGCGAGAAGTTTAATTTGTTCTGTAACAACTGAACAAAACTGCTCGATCGCCTTATGCTTAAATCAGAATATTAAACCCTGTATTGTCAAAATTATGAAGAATCTATGAAATGCAGATGTAAGGGTTGTTAGACAGTTTTGTATGCCCTTAGCTTCAATCTGATTTGATGTACTTTTGACATTTAATGTAAATAAATAAAGTGCATGTTTGATTCATGTTGTATGGTATGATTCTCTGTAAGACCCTAAAACTTGACACTTAATGAAACTCGTGTTAGTTTTAAATGTCCATAGCCATTGGATAAGTCTGGGGAAATTTATCCTGCCAAGGTTGATACTGGTGTACCGCCAAGTGTTGGGATGGCCTGTCTCGGCCACCAGGGTAAGACCCAAGGCACATACAGTATGGGATTACTCGAATCCTTGAACCGGACCGGATTTCTAGTATTGCCCTGGACCTTAGAGACAGATGAGCAAAACTAAAAAGTTACACCGACCCCTAGACTCGATTATGATACTTCACTAGGTGTCGGATTGGGCTGTCTTTGATATGCCAATCAGTGAGATCCTTAGCGRGGGTCAAAACYTKGGTATGTTGGGACAGTCTGAGAATTCATCTGAGTGAGTGATCATAGTGACAGGATCAGCCCCTTTGTCGGACAAAGGTAATGATCGGGAATGCACTCTCTCTGAAGGAAACCAAACTGCCGGTAGTTGATTTCAATCGTTGGAATTTTGTTTTGTAAAATTTATATATATAATATATAGGTATTTTCGTTTTCAAGTTGTTTGCAAATGGTTTTAATTCCCGGGATCCATGTAAGAAGAGAGTGCAGCACTGTTCCTTGCAGTCAAGGGAGAGGTCCTCTCTTGTCGGGCAGTGCTTGATCATTAAGGGCTGAGAGGTTAAGTGTAAGGCCATTTAGGATAATACCTGATGGGCTAATCTTGCACCTGCCCACAGTCCCTGGGTTTTTATAAGATGGCTTGGCCCAGGGACCACTTAGTGTAAGTGTTGGGCCCATAGGGTCCATGTGATGGGCTCAGGGGTTCACTGGGCTTCTCAATGAATTCGGCTAGGCCTTGTAATAAAAGTTTGGCCGAACCCATGTGGCTGGTGTGTAGATCAATGCTTGGGTCCCACGCCATATAAAGAAGCCCAATTGGGCAGCAGATTGGAAACCAATTGAGCACAGATTACTTAATGGGCCAAAAGCCCATTTCAAACTGGGCTGATATGATCACCCACTTATGGGGCGGATCTAAGATTAAGGTTAGCAAAAAGATTGGGCCTTTAACCTAATCCACTCCAGGAGACCAAATTTGAATCATATTTGAATATGGTAATCTCCTGATAAGATCAAGAGTAAGCTAATCTAATCTGCAGATAGGATTAAGATCATCCCCTATCCAGATGCTGATTTGGATTGGGATAACTCCTAATAGGATTAGGAGATTTCTTAATCAAGAAGAAAGAGGAGAAATCCTAAGAGAATTAATAGAATTCAAACCTAGGGTTTTGAGCAAGAAAATCTTCCTGCAAATTGAGATAGGATCTCATACACTCCAGAGAGAAGAGAAACAGCATTCGCCATCTTCATCTCAGGAGTTCTCCTCCAGCTGCCGCCATTCTCTGAAAAGATTCGATCTTTGAGAAAAGAAATCAAGAAATCAGTTCTTGATATCAGTTTTGCAGAAGGAACTGAAAAGATTTAGTGCTCAGTGTTTCCAGAGGATTCTTGTGAAGGATCTAGTGTGTAGGACGCACTCTGCTGGTACCGTTCTACAGATTGTTGTGTCATCTTCAGCAGGAGCGGTTCTTGGTGTCTTCTTTGGGCGTGAACACCAACTTTGGGAGATACTGCTTCTCTGGATCAGGTATAATTCYTCTCTTGTCTTTTGGTTCAGATCTGGTTCGGTTATGGTTCAAGTAGGATCATTGGATATTGTATTCTAAATTTAGGGAATATGATTTCCAGTTGGAAGAAGGTAGGAAATTTTTTTTGAAATTCGCCCACCCATTCCGCAACATTTTTGGCATCCATACGATGGATCATACCATTCTTTCAAGGGTCGTAAATAAAGACGAAGATGGGATTTTAATTTCCTGCTTCTAGTTTAGAGCCTCTCAATGTCGACATTGCTCAAAGTTTTAAGAATCTATAAAATCGAAAGAAAAGTTGGAGCTTACACGATTATAAAATAGATAGAAAAAGGAAATTTTTGCACCAGTAGCTCATGTCAAGAGTACAAAGAAATTCCCCGTCACCCACTAAAACCATTACCACTATCACCACTACCGGTGGCCGGAAAATGACAGTAACCACTGCAGCAGGCTGCCTCTTTATTACTCACCAATGCTGTAATTAATCAGAGCTTACACGATTAACAATAATTTTCATTTTTGTTAATATTGTTGTTGGGAATCCCAGGACCAAAATTGTAGAGGTATTCCTAGCAGCAGCTGGGTTGTTGGGAAAAGGTATTAGCTGTCCACACTCCACAAGTGAGAGGAATGGGTCATTTTATTGAAGGGGTAAATTTGGACTCTAAGAAAAACTTCATCTTGACGGAATGCTAATTGAGGGGAGGTCTTTGTCTAATCACATCATACAATAAAATAATAAGGTCTTAGTTCGATTTAAGAGTGAACACTACACCACCTCGATTCATCCAAGTTGCTAGGATTATCTACTATTTGTTCATTTTGGGAGTCTGGATCTCCTGCCCACATCTTCCCACAACACACTACCCCCGTGAATTGGGAACATCTCCCCCTATACAATACTATGCAGGGGATGAGATGTCCTCCATGTGTGGCTAAGATAAACATGGGCAGGGTTTGTGGGCAGGAGATCTGAACTCCCATTTTTGGCTCGAACTCGGTCCTAACAACATCAGATTATGCTATCTATGGAACTAATACGAAAAGCCTCATGCTTCTTTTCTCTCTAGTGCACTAGAAAGTAGCAACCATGTCTTCAAAGAACACCACCTCCCGATTACTTTGGTGCTTAATGCTCATCCTGGGTGTAAATACTCCATTTTTGCGTTCTTTAGTCTTTAGGTAACACTTTTGAGTTTCAAGCATGCTTTAGTTGACCTCTCAATCAACCTAAGGATATTTTTTTAATTTTAAAAAACATTGGGGCCTCAAGGATCCAAGACCATAGGTATGTAGATCCCAAAAATCCAAATCTAATGACACAAACATCACCTGAATCTGACCCCATTTACCCCTTCATCTTAAGACCCAAAGCCGGAACCAATTCCGGTCGAAACCATTTTGATCCTGAACCTCATTTCATGTGAAATCGGAAATCCAAAACCATAGATACTTACATCCCAAAAATCCAAATCCAACAATACACTTGAATCTGGCACCATTTACCCCTTCATCTTAAAACCCAAAACCGAAATCGATTCTGATCATCCGATTAGAATCATTTTGATCATAAACCTCATTTCACATCAAATTGAATATCTAAAGCCATAGGAACATAGAGCCCAAAAAGGCAAATCCAACCATACTAAGATCACCAAAATCCGACACCATTTGCCCCTTCATCATAAGACACAAATTCAGAATTGATTCTGATGATTCGGTCGGAGTCATTTTTGAACCTAAACCTCATTTCACGTTAAATCAGAAATCCAAATCCATAGGTATGTAGATTACAAAAATTCAAATCCAACGACACCAAGATCACATAAATTCAACAATGTTTACCCCTTCATCCTAAGGCCTGAAGCCGAAGCCGATTCTGATCATCCGATCGAAGTCATTTTGATCTTGAATCTCATTTCACCTCAAATCAGAAATCCAAAACCATAGGTATATAGATATCAAAAATTCAAATCCAACAACTCGAAGATCACCCAAATCCAACACTGTTGACCTCTTCATCTTAAGAACCGAAATCGAAATCAATTTCAATCGTTCGATTGGAGTCATTTTGATCATTGAACCTTATTTCACACCAAATCAGAACTCCAAAATCATAAGTACGTAGAGGCAAAAAATACAAATCCGACGACACCAAGATCACCCAAATCCAACACCGATTACCCCTTCATCTCAAGACTTGAAGCTGGAACCAATTTTGATCGTCCGATCAAGACCATTTTTTATCCTGAACCATATCCCACACAAAATCTGAAATCCAACCTTATAGATGGATAGATCTCGAAATTCAGAGTCCAACGTACCAAGAACGCCCAATTCTAACCCCGTTAATCCCTCCATCTTGAGACCCAAGGCTAGACTTGATTTGGGCCTTCGGTTTGGAACCCTCTTTACTATATCTTCGAATGTAGGGCATCTTACGACCAAACCTTTCTCCCAGCCTTTAGAACCATCTTAAAATCCAAGATCTGACTAGCTATGAGCCTCCAATCAATCAAACCAATCACCTAAACTTGGAATGTCCAATTTAGGTAAATTAGTGAAATTTTCCGTTCATTGTCTTAATGGATTGAGAGGATCTCTCCCAAAGCTGTCTTGACAGCCCATTCTCTCAACCAATCTTCTTCCAAAATCTATTTAAACTTCATCCATTGATCTCCCTTGTCTCCTATCTCAAACCTCCATCCTCTCAAAAAACTTATAAGGGTAAATTCTTAAACTATCCTTATGGTTTAGCTAATCGACTAAGTGTACCCTTGCTGTTTAAAAATTTACTAATACTACCTCTATTGTTTCTAACAATTGACTAATACTTCCCTTACAATTAATATTTCGTCATAAACCATTCAAATGTGTATCATATGGCTGTTATAACTTCAAAAAATACTCAACTTACCCTTATTATAACTTCCAACACCAGCACCAGCCCCGGCATGGAAGAAATTAAAAAGACTACGGATCCTCAGCTCCCTCTCTTCCTTGGTTTCACGCAGCACTAGAAGGACATGATCCATGGACACAGACCCCGACGTCTTGACAGGATTGCAACAACCTGAACGCCGTTCATCTTCAGATGTCTTCTTCGTCTCCATTTTTTAAAAATCTACGTGTTTGACAGCCTGTCCCGCCCCAGACATTCCTCAAAACTCCCCCTCAAAGATGAAGTTGAAGTTCGAGATACAAATCGAATAGCATAAAATAGAAAGATAGAACCGACATGGAACTCTTCCAATCCAAAATTACGAGCCTTAATGGCATGAAAGAAGACGAATTAACCAATTTTGGAGCCGCTTGAGATAAAAGAAAAGAGGCCTAGTCAAATCTGAAAATTCAGACGATCTTCATTCTATCCATTTGTTATTTCCAAATTCCAAACCCAGATGTAAATGAAGAGAAAGAATTCGACTAAAAGCACAAAGAAGGGATAGAAAGATTTAAAGATTTCCAGGGCGGAATTGGTTATTGAAGCATTCATGGAATTGAAGCAATCGGGATTCCTTACGAACAACAATTGTTTCACTTTATACAGAAGGCGAGAGTTCTAATAATATTGAAGCATTCATGGAAGATAGTTAATTTAATGGAGCTTCTGGTTTTGAAAGGTTAGGGTTTTGATGAATCAGTTCTTTTTTCTCCGAACAATAAAGAATAAAATAGTATTTTTCGTCTTTCTGTTAAAGATACTAACGATGAGAAAAGTATTAGTCAATTGTCAGAAATAATAGGAATAGGTTAATCAATTTTCAAACAGGTACATTTAGTCAATTAGTTAAATCATAAGGATAGTTTAAAAAATTTATCCAATTTATAAATACCCTGGACCTAAAAAAGGAAAATGCCTGTGCCACGAGACGATCCTTGTTTTCTCTCTCTCACGTGCATGCTTGAGAAGCTCTCCATATTCATCCCTAATGAAGCTCAAAACCTATTGCACCTTTTTGAAACTATTTTCATTTCCCCCAAACATCCTAAACCTCATAAAATCATCCCACCGCAGCTCCCTAAAATCATCCCAGAGGTCGTGGGTTGAAGAAGAGAAGCTTGGAATACGCTTGAAAGAGTGTAGCTGAAAACCGGTTTGTCACAAAATTCTTATCTTTGGCTTTTGAAAGTAGCAGGAGACATTTCATCAGCAAAGAAGGTTTCAAAATGCAAGAGGATGCCCGCGTACTGTGTGCCTTCACTGTGTTAATTGGAGAAGAAGCTTCTAATTATGAAGGCACGTATCAGTGGAAAAACAAGGCTGTTTCAAATGGATGAAACGGCTTTTGTCAAATTATTTAGTTGCTTTTGTCTTGTTATTTAGTTTCATGTTTTCCGTTCAATTTTTCTAGGTTAAATTTTCTTGTCTTCCATTCTATTTTGTTTAGTTTCTCCTATTAAGTAGCCACGTAGGATAACTTATGGCCTGTCCGAGGGCGAATATTGCTAGTTTGTTTGAAAATTTCAGGTTGCTTTGATCGCCTTTTTATTTTGAATTTTAAGTGTTAATTTTTTTTCCTTTTTTTTTTCTTTTTTTCCCATTAGTTCGTTGCACGCATCATGCTTTAGTCCCATCTATTCTGCACTCCACCTAAGAATTCTGAATTCTATGCAAACCTATAACAATTCAAAATTTAAAATAACTCTACAGGTAATACCAATACCTACCTGTGTATGGGCATCAATTCCGAACTGGCACCTACCTCAACTATATGGGGGAGCTAAGATTTGTTTGGGTGGACTGAACACTAAAAACCCTTATTCTTAATACTATTTTCTAATTTTCTAATTTTACATTATTTAGTATCTAGTGGCATAATTTCTCTCACTTTTTCAAGTTTATCAACAAACGGTTACATTCTTTGTTTGCAACTGCATTTAGGTTTTTTTTTATAGTGTGTTTTGTCAATTAAAATTTATTTCATATTGCATGAATTAAAGTATGAGGCATTATTTTCCATTTTTGCATTATATAGCATTTAATTTCTTAAACTTCAAACTTCATCTTTTATTTTACATCCTTAAGCATGCCTTAAAAAAAACATCATCTTCAATTATTTCTTCTTCTATACTAGCATTGATCAAAATTAGTAGCTAATCTCATTTCATCTCATGCATATGCATTAGGTCAAATTAGAATTCCTTGCATATTGTCCCTTTCTTATTGTTTTTAAATTATTATTTGTGGTTTCCTACCTTACAACTTGTGCACCTGAATTTTCTAGCCAATTATTAAGGCATTCTTTCATTATTTAATGCCTATTGATTATTATTCTCCCGTTAATTGTTAGGTCAGTTAGTTTTTCTCTTGTTTAATTTAGTATATATAGTTTTTTTATCAATTTAGTGTGTTATTTATCACTTTATTTCAAGCCCAAAAAATTTTTAAATTTTCCTTGGAATATTGGTAAAGGCCAATTTAACCGGCGTGTGTGGGGTGCCTAACACTTTCCCACACTATTCCTTGGTCCCTATACCCTAAGAATTTCATCCCTTTTGGGCAACGAGTCACCCAAACAAATTGGTTTTCTTGAAAAACCCTAAATTTTCGTAAATTCCCATTTCCTAAAAATTTAGGTCTTGACTCCATACTTCATCATCCCCTCTCCGAGTCGGGTAGCCACAGATGGCAACTACATTGGGGAATTTCTAAGAGGGCCTAACTTGAAACACCGAGTTCCAAGGATTATTTTCTAAATTTTGGACTTCACTTGGGCTACACGTACTTCACACATATTGCATTGCATTTTGTCCTTCTGACTCGACTATAAGCGGTCCCTGATATGATTGCTTAGGGATAACCGTCCTAAAAAGAGGACCCTTCTCTCTTACATCCGGTATATCCAACCACCGCTTGAATAAGATTGGTGGCTCTGGATAAACAATGTGAGGCCTTAGCAACGTACCCAAGACTTATCTTGAAGTATATGGGCAGCCTGACCCAACTGAGGTTCCCTAAACCCATTAGGAGCCTATAGAAACAAATCTGACCATTGCATATAAAGCCCTAAAAATCTCCCCTAGGTGGCCTACTAAAGCATTTCATTGCATTCTTCTATATGCCCAACTCATAGAATTTCTTCTTCATTTACTTGTCATCTCTCTCTCCTTGCTTTATTTTGTCCTAGCTAAAGCAATTTAACTGGATTACAACAGGCCCACACAGGTACTCTTCTCCTTTTATCTTTAGTTAATTCTGCACCCTAAGAGTCACACCACAACACATTGGAAAAAATTGGTAGGAGGTTAACTAGGGTAGAGGAACCAGAGACCCTAAATATTGTAACTGATCCAGAGGTGACCCTAACGTCCCTTAGGACCCTTGAGAGTAGATCGGTGGTTGAGCTAGTACCTATAGACCACAACTCATGAACCAAAACCAACCACCCCTACCACCCAAAGTCAAGGGATGGATTTCACCCAATTCTTAAGAGTCATGGAGCAACTTCACCAAAAACAAATAGAACAATTCCAAACACAAATGGAACAACTCCGTTCTGAAATGAGTCGGCTTCGGGCAAAAGACCAAGCCCAACCCTTATCTCACCAAACCCCATTATTCAATAGGCAGATACTTGAACCAGTAAACCCATCAACCAAGAGCCCAATCTTCGTGACCCACTCGTCTACTACAAACCTATTAAGCCAAGGGCAAGTTCCCCATCATTTGCAAGGGACACAAAATAAAAACCAACAAGCCCAAGTTAACTCATACCCACTACTCTGAGGGAAACCGCTTCACATTTGGTTCCCTCGCCACCAACCCTACAAACACCAGAACCATTCCTTCCACCTCTAAGACTAGGGGCAAGCTCAGAAGCCCAAATCCATTGGGCATCATCTACGCCCATCCCTACACCATCACCACCATAAAGCACCTATTTATATCTGGCTGGCTCCCTGGGGCACCCTCAACCATCATGGGCACTTTGTGAGAGAGAAGGACGTCACTGAGAATTGAATCAATTAACTATAATTGTATATGAACAAGAATCCGATTGTTCATAAGTTCAAGCAATTAGATGGGTATGAGCATTTATGTCATCATGTGGGATTGTATATAGTGAGTTTTTTTCTTTTTTCTTGAGCTAGCCCAAGCTAATTTATTGTGTAACAACTGAACTGCTCACTTCATGCTAAAATCAGAATATTAAGCCTGTATTGCATCTTTAAAAACAAAAAAAATAATAGGGTAAAAGACCTAAACCTCCCTTGAAATTAATAATGTTTAAATTCCATTTAATTAAGATTTAAGATCCCATTTAAGTACCATGTAAGATAACTCCTATAGCTTTGGAATCAATTAAAGAAAATTTAAGACTATAATTTTAAGACTAATTAAAACAGGGTCAATTAGATCCGTTTTTGATAATTTATATGGCACACGAGTGTCGTACATCAACCCGTGTGCCTCACAATACCTTATACATGGGTACCGAATACTAAGCAGTTTCTTTCATGAGCCAGGTACCATATACTTCAAGAATGCCGAAAAGTATACAAGACTTCCCATTATTGTTTACGAGTTAATTGTAAACTAGAGACATCCTTCATTAACGTTCTGTTGAAAAGTATCTCAGACATATACCTCACTGAAGTGAAATTCATGAGACTGCTGAAACACTCATCTCAACTCCAACATAGATATCCTGCACCACCTCACTTCATTCACCAATTTGGTGATGGGTGAAGGAGTTATAGATCTTCAACAGGTCAACCATGTAACTTTTGCAAAAGAATCATTTTGCCTTCTTCCCGAGTTCTCCAACCCTTTTTGCACTGAAAAAAAAGGTAGAAATATAAGAAACATTAAATGAGTTCTGAGAGAGCGCTAACTGATCCACTAAGCATTCCCAACTGCTAGGGTTCCATTGACACCTCGCTAGCTGGCATAACAAGAAAGAATGAAACAGAAAAAAAATATATATAAGAAATTTTACCATTCTCCTGCTCCGTTAAGAGACACAAAAGTAAATGCAAGCATACATGGCCTCTCATTATCAACTTGTAGGAGCAGAGGTGGCATAGCTTACAGAAATCCTGTTAGCCAATGGCCTAGCAATTAGCCCGTCAGTATCCCAGCCAGCTAAATTCCCATCATGCTTAACATGGTGGAATTCTCTCTGCACATAATCTAAAGAAATTTGCAGCTTTCCTCCAGGTCTGCAGTCATCAGTGGCACTTCTTGGCTTGATCCCCACGTTTCTCTCCAGCCAGTACAGATAGTTGACATGGAACAACGACTTGAGCATGTCTTGTGGAGATGAACCCTCCTTAAGTATTACCTGACCTAAGCATCAATTTCAACAGCATGAAAGCACTTCGTACAACTTGGTACCACAACCATTCAAGTTTCAGAGGACAAAATGAGAATGTACTTACACAATATCTATCCATGTTCTCAACCAACATGTATCCTTCATTTTTGTACAGATCAAACAGAGCAATTGCATCCTCCTTGCAGTTAATAACTTCACTAAGCCTGGATCCCAACTGCAGACGCTGCTGAATTTGAGCTGCTGCTTCTTTAGCTTCTATAGAAAGTGCTTCTGACAATACCTGAGAACAAATATCCACAAGTCATAGGAGTAAGGTGCATGTAAATTAGGATTGAGAATACTTTCTATTATCTACCTAATGCCTTCTCCAAGTTGTAATTTTTCACAACAAATTCATGCATCCCATAGAATGCCCAATGTGAATAGGTCAAAAACTTCAAGGGAAATGATAATATTAGAAATCATCTCAAACATTCTGGACTTGATCACTGTTGACTAATCTGTTAGATGACAAATTGCAATGGGGAAATAAAATTCCCATGCACTTGTCGAGAACACATCTATGAATACGGATACGAAATTGGGCATTTGAAACAGCTTATGGGATCATTCAACCAGTATTATGCAGTTAGTAAGTTGTTGATCAACAATCATTTGAACTAAAGAAACATGTATTACTAGTATACAGTTGTCTTTTTCTTTTTATTTTTTCTATATATGATAGTAAAGATAAAATTACATTGAATGAAAATGAAATAACTTGCAAGTTTTGGTTAAGAGCTTTCACCACAAAGAGAATAACAACGTAAGCATCCAATCCATGACCAAAGATCTAATGTCAGCGACAAGTTTGTTTTTCAGCCATTTTTTTCCTTCAAAAATATGCTTGTTCATTTCCTTCCAAATACCTCAACACACTGCAAAAGGTACAATACCTGAGAAAATTGTTGCTCTTTTTACCACCATCAATCCTTGGTCACAATGCTTAGATCTCTCGAGGCTGAGATACAGTCCAAGAAACCTAAAACAATGATAGGCAAAACCTCCATATAAATTCTGCAAAGCTACAATGGATGAACAAATGTGAAGCATCCTCTTCATTATCATTGTACACAACACAAATGCAAGGTAACTGAAAGACTCATGGTTTTAAAAGGTCCAAGGTCATAAAGTTATCAATTGCCAACAGCCATGCAAATGCTTCCACCTCTGCCCCAAACTCCTCCAACAGAAGTACCTTCCACCCGCTCCCTAAATAAAACTTCATAAAAGGATTTTACATAAAATTTCCCATCCTTGCACTCTTTCCACCAACTCATGTCAGGTTTTCTGGTATCCAGCTTCATTGCTTCCAACACTGAAAAAAATACAGCAGACTCTTCAAGTTCTCTATCCAATAGTGGTCTTCTAAACATAGGACAGCATAAAATCTGGTCACCCCTTATCCAAAACATTGACTCACATAATTATATCCTTGGAATTTAATTTGCATAATCTAGGACAGATCTGACAAAGTTTGGAACTTCATGATTCCTTTCCAGTTTCCAAACACAAAAACCATCTAAGGAAGAAACGGTTCTAGTGTCCCATTCAAATCCCACCACTCCATTTTTCAATCACCACCTTTCTCCAAAATGCATCTCTCCCTCCCTCCCTCCCTCTTCATGAATCCTCTCCAGTTTCCAAACACAAAAACCATCTAAGGAAGAAACTGTTCTAGTGTCCCATTCAAATCCCACCACTCCATTTTTCAATCACCACTTTTCTCCAAAATGCATCTCTCCCTCCCTC